TCCACTTTGTCTCTAGTGTCCATAACAATTTTTAATGCTTTTATGTCCTCCAGTCTTTCAGTCTCTACCATAGAGTGCGAGCAGTCGGTATATGTTAAGTGGAGACATACAGTGTCTCTCTTTCAAAGCCTGACCTGCTTTACTCAGCAACAAATCTTCCATATTCTTCCACTTTCTATCAAATTCCAGGGCCTTGTTGTATTTTATGACTGAGTGGTAGCCATGGAGTATACGTGCCACACTTTTTAAATCCATTCGTCTGTTTGTGGACATTTGGGTTGCTCCATGTCTTAGCAATCATGAGTAAGGTTGCAATCAGTATGTGCAAGTGCTTTTTCGACTGAGCATTCTCCTATCCTTTGGGTAGATACCTAGGAGAGGAATTGCTGGATCATATGGTAGTTCTATTTGAAGGTCTTTTAGGAACTTCCATATTGTTCTCCACAGTGGCTGGACCAATTTACATTCCCACCAACAGTGTAGTAGTGTTCCCCTTTCACCACATACCCTCCAGCACTTACCAGTTTTTATTTTTTTTAATCTTCACCATTCTGACTGGAGTTAGGTGGCATCTCATTGTGGTTTTGATCTGCATCTCCCTTATGATGAAGGATGTTGAGCATTTCTTCATATGCTTTTTGGTTGTTCCTATGTCTTCCTTAGAGAGTTGTTTATTCAGCTCATTTTCCCATCTTTTAATTGGGTGTCCCATAAATTATGGAAACTTGTGTACTTATTATCATTTGTTTCTTTTAATCTTTTGATTTCAGTCTTAATCTCTTCAGTTGTCATGAAGTCATTCAGAAGTAGGTTACTTAGTTTCCATGTATTTGTGTATTTTTCTAGGGTTTTTCCTGAGATTAATATCAAGTTAATTTCATCATGGTCAGAGAAAATGCTGGATATATTTTCTATGACTTTGAATGTGTAAAGGCTGGTCTTGTGCCATATCATGTGGTCAATCTTTGAGAAAGTACTATGCAAGGCTGAGAAAAAATGCGTATTTTGTGGTTTTTTTGGGTGGAAAGTTCTATAGATTCTATAAAATCCATCTGATTTATGGTATCATTTATGTCCTGGATCTCTTTGCTTAGTTTTTGTCTCATTGACTTGTATAAAGGAGATAATGGGGTGTTGAGATCTCCAACAATTATTGTGTTACAGTCTATCTCTCCTTTTTGATCTCACAGTCATTCCTTTACATATTTGGGTGCTCCTGAGTTTGGTGCATAGATATTTATAAGAGTTATATCTTCTTTGTGAATTAGCCCTTTTACTACTATATAATGCCCTTCTTTGTCTCTTCTTATGGTTTTTGTGCTAAAGTCTATTTTGTCCAAAATCAGTATAGTGACTCCCGCTCTTTTCTGGTTTTCATTTGCATGGAATACCTTTTTCAGCCCTTCACTTTTAGTCTATGTATGTCTTTATCTATGAGATGGGTTTCTTGTAGGCAGCAGATGGAGGGTTTCTGATTTTTAATCTAGTCAGCCAGTCTGTCTCTCTTGATCGGAGAATTTAATCCATTAACATTCAATGTTATTATCGATATTTCTAAACTTGTCCCTAACATTAACTTGGCAATATTCTTGGTTGTTTTTTGTTTTTTGTTTTTCTCTTATTGCTGTCTGTCTCTCTTTAGTCTATAAAATCCATCTGATTTATGGTATCATTTATGTCCTGGATCTCTTTGCTTAGTTTTTGTCTCATTGACTTGTATAAAGGAGATAATGGGGTGTTGAGATCTCCAACAATTATTGTGTTACAGTCTATCTCTCCTTTTTGATCTCACAGTCATTCCTTTACATATTTGGGTGCTCCTGAGTTTGGTGCATAGATATTTATAAGAGTTATATCTTCTTTGTGAATTAGCCCTTTTACTACTATATAATGCCCTTCTTTGTCTCTTCTTATGGTTTTTGTGCTAAAGTCTATTTTGTCCAAAATCAGTATAGTGACTCCCGCTCTTTTCTGGTTTTCATTTGCATGGAATACCTTTTTCAGCCCTTCACTTTTAGTCTATGTATGTCTTTATCTATGAGATGGGTTTCTTGTAGGCAGCAGATGGAGGGTTTCTGATTTTTAATCTAGTCAGCCAGTCTGTCTCTCTTGATCGGAGAATTTAATCCATTAACATTCAATGTTATTATCGATATTTCTAAACTTGTCCCTAACATTAACTTGGCAATATTCTTGGTTGTTTTTTGTTTTTTGTTTTTCTCTTATTGCTGTCTGTCTCTCTTTAGTTTTCTTGGTATAGTACTCCTTTCAGAATTTCTTAGAGAGCTGGTCTGAAATTGGTAAATTCTATCAGGTTCTGTTTATCCAAGAACATTTTTATTTTCTTCTCCCATATGAAGGATAACCTTGCCAGGTATATTATTCTTGGTTGAAATTGTTTTTCATTTAACACTTTGAATATATTTCCCCATTCTTTCCTTGCTTGCATGGTATCTGATGAGAGATCCAGTGTTAGCCTGATGGGATAACTTTTGTAGGTGGTTTGTCTTTTTCTGACATTTTGGTAATATCCTCTAATATTTCCCTACTTGGAGACAAGTTACAGTGTTCCCTTGCTGGAGATGTATTACTTGATTCTCTCACCCTTGAGGCTATTCTCTGATTTTTAGTCATTTGGTAATGTATTCACTTCTGCCTAACTTGTTAGAGAAGGGTTCTGTGACTGTGAGCTCATATGTTTCCCTTACTGTGAAATAATTTGGTGCTATTATCTCACTTCTACTGTGTTCTCCAGTGCGGGAAAAACAGGAGGGGTTTTGAAATTAGATTTATGAAGGAGGAATTTCACTATTTTTGCAACCACTACAGTGAGGTGCAAAGAATTATCACAATGTTCAGATGTTTAGCTACTATGCACCTAGTCGTCTCTAGGCAGTGGGTAAGAGCTGAGCAAAAGCAGTAGAGTAAGGTAAAAGAAGAAGAGTAGGAAATAGAAAAAAGGAAGAAAAATCAAAGAAAAAAGAAGAAAGTACTACAAGAAAAAGAGGAAAAGAATTATAAATCATGTCGCGGAAAATGAAATTGGGTTAAAAATAGAAAACTAAGTGGCACACAAGTGCTCCACACAAAGGCCCAACAGAGGCAGAGGTGGAGAATCTTGGAGGCTTTCTGTCCTAGGTGAAGGAAGTAGAGATAAATTAACAAGAAATAGAAGGGGTGGGAGAGTGGAAAGCTGATTGTTTTCTTAAAAAAAGAGAATAAAAAGTTAGAAAGGACAGAGAAAAGCAAGAGGGAGATACTTGTGTACCTGACTAGCACTGGAGTCTACCAGAGAGCCCTGGCTGGGCGATGGGGGGGGGGGGGGG